GATAAACGGCGAAGTTACGGACTCGAATGTACAAGTGCACACTGAATAACGGTTGATAAAAGGTCGCTATCGAAACCTCCACCTGGAACTGTAAGCTCTATCCAGTTGACATGCGATGCGTTGAAGTCCTCAATGATGAGACAACATTCTGCCATACTCCAAGAACTAACCCATTTCTGGATTTAATCTTACAACATGCTACCTCACATGTACCACTGACATGAGCCTCCGATATGATTTATTGTATACGAAAATGATCCCTAACGTATAACATTATGCCTCCCTCTTGCGAATTAAAACTCTCACTTCTAATACAGATATAGCCTGCAATGGTTGGAGAACATACTATATCTACGGTGAACCAAGTTTCCGTAACAACAATTATATCAGGACTTAATTCATCCCACATCAGATTTAGCTCGGACGTTTTATTTCTAAAACTACGGGCGTTCGTGTAGCACACGCTTAAGGTGTTTTGGTAATCATTCGTTCTACCCATACACGCCTCGGAAGCATTGACTTCCAAGACCTGAATACCCGGAAACCCTTAATGGTAAGGTTAGTCTCACAACTTAACTTGCGAGTTCTCAACTCCGTAAGAGCATTCTCCCACTTGACTCGATCCTCATGCAGCCAATCTGGTCGGATACGAATATTTGAATCAAGGGTTTTTGTGCGTTTTCCAATAATATATCTCTTTCTTCAGAACTCCCGAGAACCAGCTTCAAGATCCTTCTTGGTTGGGTCTCGCCTCAAACCCATTTACCGAGTCGTATTACTTTCGTGATATATGCCCCTGGAACCTCTTCAGGTAATTCATATCTTATCACAGATTCCACTAACTGCAGATCATGTGCATGTCTCTTAGCAGCGTCATTGTCTTTCGACCCCTCTTGATTCCAAATAATTAAACTGGGAAGGGGTTTAGCTTCTTTTGAAATCGTGTTCACAGCTTTCAATCGTGACGCTAGGTCCTGTATATTAACTACTGGTATCTTACGATTAGTTTTTATTGTAACAGAGTCATGGGAGTCGAGTGAGTGATTCACAACAATGTTTGACAAGGCCTTACTTTTGGACTTCGGCTGAGTGATCTGAGAGTCCACCAAGGACTTATCAAGTAAATGGTCATTAGTTTTAGCTGTCTTCCCTACTCTCCTGCGTTTCCGTGTCATCCATATTCCATCAGTCGTAGCATCTACCTTAGAACTACTCGGGACAGTAGTTGTTTTATCTGGATCACCGGTTGCTGCTGTAGCGACATGGCCACCAATATATAATGAGGGGTCACTCATTGATTATTTCGGAGTAGAAGGTTTAATTGCGGGTTGCACAGTTAGATGCTTGGCTTGCGCCGTAACAGCATTCTGGCACTAACTCAATCTTCTTCATCAGTACCAGTAATACCAGTACAGCCCTCATCAACCTTTTTATTAGCCAATACCAGGAGGCTAATTGCTCACTGGATGAGTAATGTTTTGCTCAAGTAACAAAAACTACAAAGCCGACGGGAGTTGGGCTTTGAGCACCCTTTATATACAGTGGGGCTTAAACGGGTTCTCATCTTATGGAACCATTTATAACACTCATCACATTGCACTCTTTCCTCCACGGGGAATAAGCAATATGGTTGTCCACATTTTTGAGCAGAGCTGGCCATCTTTAAAATCAACTAAAATGGTGACTTAAACAGGACATTTAAAAGAATTCTCAAACCTTAACTAAATAAGTCAAAGAAAAGTCGACCAAGTATGCTTCGATGCAATAAATACATAGAAGCAAAATCGAAACACTCAATGCAATAACACTTTCACTGAAGCAGATTCAATCAAAGTGAAGACAGTAGTTTTGATGCATAATTTACGATCAAAACAGTTAAGTAATTCAACGAGAAACAATGTCACGGATTAAACGTTAGGTCCCTTCGAATGTGCCCGCCCTTTCGTTTCAACGACCTTGAACGGCCTGACCAGAGGCAGTTATTCCGTATTTCAATTGCCGTGGGTTGGTTGGATTGTATGAGTATCAAGTTTTTTCATATATAAGTCATCTTATGCTGCATAAAAAGCACGATGTAAATACCAAAAGCATTAATTTAGCATTCTCTGTTTTATAGTTTACACTTTGGCTCTGTTGTTGCTTTGTAATTGATCTGTGATCCCAACAACTGTGGTAAAGCTCAACGAAATGTCAAGTCACAGGTAAATCCTAAGTATTTGTAGTATTTCCTTGGGTCATTATTGTTGCAAGGAATAACTTTTTAATAATTATTCATGTCTGTTTTTAGTGCTTCATACTCAAGTGACATTTCAGTCGACCTTACCGATGCCTTTCGAAGTATGATACTGAACGAGCGTTTCGTGTTCTGGGATGATTTTGATAATGCCTTAAAAGAGTTCCAAAAAGTATGGAATAGTAATTTTATCGCTTCTCAGAATACTTATACTCGTTACATCCACACGGAAAGCAGGTTGCTGAAGGATGTCAGGTTCAAATACCTGTGTGTAACGTTTAGTTGTACGTTTGGTCGTAAACGGAAATTGGAAGGTTTGAAAGTGGATCAAAAATCGTAAGATCTTTAACTAATATCTGATGTTTAAGGTCTTAATTCCGTAATTGTTAATCTAAATTCCATGTAAGACTAGAGGAGCAAGGATATGTCATCAAATCCTACAACATGCTCCACAATCATCCATGTAGTAGTTCATGGATGGTATGTGATCCATGGACAAGGAGATTATCATCAGAAGAAAAAGAGAACTTGAAACCAGTAATACTGCAATCTGAGTCAGCAGATGAAGTTATCGAAAGTATTAAGGAGAGAACTGGTAAGTAAGTAACCGCTGCCGATGTCATAGGTATGAAAGCTACACTCTCCACTGGTAAGTGTATATAAATATATTTCAGGTTGTACTCGGGAGCAGGTAATGCACATGATGCGACAAAACGGTGAAGTTAGAGAGCATGTAGAAAATGGATGTATTACGGCAATATGCTTCAGCAGTTATGACCAGATACGGTTGTACAATTAATATCCCGAAGTCGTGTGTATTGATTCTACGTATAAAACTAATAATAAAAAGTGAATATGATTTTCGTTTTGTTCTACTGTGTAGATATTCATTATTCCAGTTAGTTGTGACAGACAATTTGGGTCGAGGACGAACTGTTATGTTTGCGTAGACACGAAAAGAAAAGCGTGCCGATGTGATATTGATTTTAGATAAATTCAAAGAGATGATGGGTAACACAACAATAACAGAAACATTTTTGATGGATTGCGCATGATCTGAAAGCGCGGCTGTCCGTATAACACACGAGCATGCAAACATCATTTTGTGCGCCTTTCATGTAATTCGCGCTTTCCGGAAAATGGTACACCATTGGTTGCTTACATAAAATTTCCCTTAGACAAATGATAAAATAGTAAAGACCTACTTGACTCGATTAGTAACTGCAGAAACGGTCGGAAGGTAATTTTTAATGTATTTATTCACAAGATTTAAACAATATAACAGAATAATAAACCGGAGAGACAGTGATAGGCCAGTACGATTTGCGAAACAGGTGGAGAGAAAAGTCTACAATTTTTACTTAAGAATTATAAACAACTAGACAACACGTTTACGATGAAAAGTTCTTTATGGCTTTATTTTTGACTCCACTATTTATACAACTTGTAAACTTATCTTTCCACTTTAGTAGTCATGAAAAATCAATAAACATTTTCTCATTTTTTATTTTCGTCTTCTTCATACCTTCATGGGGAGGTATACCAATCGTTTTAACGAATAATTGTGCGTGAGAATTAATAACTTGTACTACTGCATTAGTTTAGAATTGTTGTAAGAACTTAGTGTTATATCGTTGTTCACTATCGACGTCAGTTTTTACTCACATAGTTTTTTTCAGATACGTTACATAATATGTCACTTCAGTACAAAACGATGGTACCTCTAATGGATATAACTTTTTATGGCTAAATACAAATAAGTTATATAATATTCACAATTGTGTTAACGCTTAATTGCTTCTTTTTACATTTTATAAACAACTACCGACATCCATGTTCACCGTCACCACAATCAAGGAGGTGAACCATATGTAATGGATTTTACGGCTTAATTTCATGAAAACTCAATCTGTGATCTACTTTTTGACTAGAAACATAGTGAAATTTACTTGCTTGAGTTTGTGTTGTTACAAATAACTATATTACTCTAACTACAGATTTACTTACGTGGTGAGCAAGAAATACGTCAAACTGCTAATAAATTGGAATATAAACTATGTTACAAGCACAAGCATTACGGAAATTGATGTGTGATGAAAAAAAACCTGTTAATAGCTGATAAATAACGACAGAAAAAATCCACGACAATATGTTACATGTGCGCGAATATCCGTGACTTAACACGCATAGTGTGCCGAAACAATACCACTGTCCTTTTAGATAGCGTGCGTCTTTCACAAAAACAGGCGAAGATTCTCGAAGTATTTCTGAGGGTCGTGAAATTCGCCGTTAAAGAAATGGAGATGAGGTTGCCTGCCTATTCTTAAAAAAAGATTTAGGCTCTGGACCGAGCAGGTGGGTACTGAGAAGAAAAACTCTACAAGGTGATTCTTATCAACACAACTGAGTAATCTTTCTTTTCTCGAATCGATAAGTAGTAAAGAAGAATATGATTTCTTAAATATTGTTTAACTTTATACTATAATACAGTAATATATACAACGAGTTGCCTGTTTGTTATTTCGTTTACATATAACCAGAGGTTTAAAAGGATAGCGCCTAAACTAAACAGTTGCGTGCTTGGCGAAGTCATATGTACTGGGCTGTATACGTTTAGGATATGAGTAATCACTAGGTTATTTGGATTAGCTGGCAACCAACGTAAGTCATCATATCTTGCTTGACATTTTTCGAAGATTTTCTTTATTTTTGTTATAGTTTGGTCTTTAAACATTTCCTGATTACCTGGTTCACGTTATTTATTCTAATGCCGGTTTACAAAGGTTTGAACAATGCAAAATAACATTTCAAATTAATGGGTTTTGTGAACAGTGAATATAAAGTGGCAGAAGAATAAGTACTCAAATGTGGAATGTAACACCGATGAGTGTCCCGAGTTATTCAAGGCGTTACTTTTCTCGCTTACTGGTGTTCCTCCCGACCGTCAGAAAATTATGATGCCTGGGGGAATATTAGGCGATAAAAATTACAATGGCATTAAACTGAAGGATGTAAGGATCTTATATCCTGATGTTTATCATTAAGGGAATTAACGTCATGCTTGTTGGGTCTGTTGACGAAGTACCGATTTCCGAAACCCCTTGTTTGGATGATTCAAAAGTTGCTCATTACACAGAAGACACTATAAAACTACCGCCTGGCCTCGTTAATCTTGGCAACACTTGTTATATGAATGCAGCTGTGCAATTGCTTTTCTCGATCCCAGAATTACGTTTAGCTTTGCAGATGTAAGTTCATATAAATACTTTTAATTTCAAACTTTTATCCAATATCTTGGTATCTGTATAAGTCGGGTATTACGACAATAAACAAATATGCTTTTATAACGATATCGCAACTGCTAGTATGTAGTGTACTACAGTATCCCCATATCTGCAGTTCAAATGGTTGTGGACGGAATATAAGCTTTCGTGTCTAGTCGCAATGGATCACCAGAACCTCCAGGCAGAAATTTAGGTATACTTACGATAATAGGAGAAAAAATAGGTTAATCATAATATGTTATCCTTAGTCCTTAAAGACTAATATTCGCTATACTCTTACCGTTTCACACAAACTTGTTAGTCAATGGTTGTAATTGTTTTTAAGTATTCACTATGATGATCTTCGAAACTGACTTGTTCAGACAGCTTTGTTTAATCTGTGTTTATGACAGCCCCCAAAAGCCATTACGCATTCGAGAGTTTGATGAGTCAACTCTCTCGAAATGCTCTCACATGGCCTCGTACATACTACCGCTGTCAGGAAAGTCCTACTCACTGCCTTCTCGCGTCGGGGGCGTCCTTTACGAAACTGAAAAAACGAATAGGGAATATCTGTCGCTGGGTTGGAAAACCCTGACTCTAAACCAATGGTGTACATAGGCTCCGGGATTTTGAGGAAACAAATGGCGTATAAACCTATTGTTGGTCACCGGCTACCATGGTATTACATCTTAGGTTGCCTGACTGTCTTGTGGATTAGACCTTTAGGTCGAAGGCTTGGGGCGTGGCTCCATGAGAAAACTCACTGCTTCGTTTTGGGCACCCAATCAGTGTCCCAGCCCTCACACAAACCAAATGATCTGTATGGTGCCTGCTTGTACTATTGTGTTTAATAAATAATAAAGTTGGTTGGAATATTCCACTCAATTCCATAAAGAATGTTTTGGGAGTCAGTTTGCCGGTAAGTATTTTACGTTGGGTTTTGAACACCGACTGGCCATATTTTGAAGCTGAGCTATATTAGTTTTGATGTTTTGTCTAGTTTCATGCATCATTCTCAGTGAAAATTTTAACTCCAAATCAACATGCCACTCAAGTCTCGAACTTGTCACTAAGAACTTATAATAATTCATTATCCCAAAAGAGAATCTTTTTGGCCATAAACTTATTTAAAAGATCAATTTGGTTTCGTTATCGAGTAAAAATACTTTTATAATTATTTTGTCAGTTTTAAAAATATTTGCCCAAGCTGTGGGAGCTCGACGAAATATCCCAAGACAATTTTTCGAGAACAAGTTAGATGTAACTCCTGTCCTTCCGGCCAGTTTGTTCGAAGCAAGTACCTATTATTCGGTTCGTTTGTAATGACATGATAATAATAATAATGAAGAGACAAATTCATTTTGAATTATGTATTGGATATAATATTCATCAGGAGTAAGCATTTCGTGTAATTTTGCTTTCACCTTTACTTTACAGTAGATAGACCTTCACAACTGCACTAGACAGATGTGCTTTCAAAGCTACTCATACGATGATTGCTGGGATTTTTTTGTATTATATTCAGAAACTTACTCTCAAGGTGCTGGTCTGTTAAATAGTTACATTTTCTTTTACATGGTGTGGTTCACATCCAGCTAAATCAACCTTGACTTCAAAAATCTTTTTGTCTGCTATTTTATGTAATGTGGTTTTGTGCCCGTAATTCATATCCTGTAAATGTACCATATCTATCCTAAACTTATGACGTATTGGTTCAAATGCTAATATACGAAGCTAATGATAATTTCATGAAAATTCTGTCAACCTTAGTAACTCGAATTTCGCGACTTTAACGGGCCGTTGCTTTGATTACGATTATGCAATCATCAGAATGACTTTCAGTTCATTACTTGGAGTATAAGCAAACATTTTTATAGGCTTGGGAATCTCCTGGTTAGTTGTCATCCTTTTGTGCAGTGATAAAAATATTAAAGTAATGTAAGATTGTGCTGGACGAGGTCAGTCGATGTATAAAACCACTCACATAGAAATAAGTTGCATACTAATTGGAACAGTGATTATATGTTCGATTAACAACATATTTGGACGACTTCCATTAAGCAAGTTTCGCCCTCCAACGGTAGGTTTGAGTCCTAAAAATACCATAAAGTTATTGCACAAATTAACTAACTACTGGTTTCCTCAGTGGGTAGGAGTGAAGTAGCTGAGCGTGTCGACCGCTTCACTTATTTTGGAAGTCTCATCAGCCCTTGTGGTTTGGTGTGTGACGAAATCTCAGCACGGATACAGAAGGCTCGACTAGCTTCCGCCAACTTGATTCTTTTTTGGAGTAGGCGAGATATCCGTCTATCAACCAAAGGACGTGTTTACTGCGCAGCAGTTCGTCCCGTCCTACTTTATCGCTGTGAAACATGGCCGGTAAGAGTAGAGGATATCCGTAGGTTACTAGTATTTGATCATAGGTATCTTCGAAACATTGCTCGTATATCCTCGGACCATCGAGTAAGTAACACAGTTGTTAGGAAACGGGTACTAGGTAAGGATGGCAAATCGATTGATGAAGTGGTGGAACTTTATCAGTTAAAATGGCTGGGACGTGTTTCGTATGCCCAACGACCGACTGCCTCGACGTGCGATGTTCAGTGGTATATGAGTAGGTTGGAAGAAAGCTAGGGGTGGCCAGACCAAAACACGGCACAAGTCCATGAAGTCACTGACAAGTGGACAGAGTCATGTTGGTAGGTGTAGACTACCTGATTGGGGACCGCGAGATGATAGGAACCGATGGTTAGAGACCCTGAATGACATGGCTCAAAATCGTTTTCAATGGCTCAGGTGCATCCACTCTTTGTGTTCTCCCAAATTTTGATCTCCTTATTCCTCCTTGTCTCTTGTTTTCTCTTCCCAAATTTACTTCACTGTATTATACTCTTTAAATAACATCTCCAAAAACTAGTTTTCCTGATTACTGCTTATACTCTTATTACCTCTACCACTACGGGATTTGAATCGACCACTGCATCTCTGTGCTAATGTGGTGTGGCAACTCGAACTGATGTACGTACGTACGAAGTTCTACGTTGTTACTGACTGAGTGAGTAGGAACGTGGTATTTTTGGCCAAGGTTCTTATTTGTCTTATGCTTTTAAAATGATATGCCATTTGCTTTCGAAGTTTTCATTGCTGTTATGATCAATTAACCAAGAAGCAGTTCAGTTAAATTCTTATGACGACTCAGCTGACTGATACATAGCTTTAGTATTTTTAAACTGTACTATTATTAAGTTTGCTCTTAGTTCTTAATAGCTGTATAAATAAAAGAAGTCTGGTAATCTTAATAACAGTGAAAACATTGTGTGCATGAAACTTTTTTTCTTTCATACAGATGCCGTTTTCCCCAAACTTCACTGAATTCGCCGAATCTTGATTCCCTATGCGAAAGCTTAAAGTTTTTGTTCAATTCCTTAAGCAAAACTGAAAAACCGGTTACTCCTCTGCTCTTCTTGACTTGTTTGCACAGTGTTTGTCCGCAGTTCGCCTCACGTGCATCGTCTTCTGATGCAAGTAAATCCGCTCCAGGTGCTCTATCTATGATTACTCATGGCTTCGAACAACAAGATGCTAGTGAATGTTGGACAGAGCTAATCAGAGCATTACAATGTAGCAAGATTGATTCTCAAGTTTATGCGTCAGCAGTGGTAACTTTTCTATGTTGTTCATATTTCATTATTTTTGAATATTTCGCTGCTGGTTTATAATCTTATAATAACCATACATTAAGACAACTTAATAACGGCGCGACAAGGGGTTTTCATTATTCGTTACCAAGCACAAACTTAATTATATTGTATCTGCTGCAGTTTGAAAATGTATAGGGTTCATTGTAAAAGCAGTGAAAAGCTGTATGGGTTAGAATAAAGTATTTTCAAAAGTCATCAAATCAATACCTTACGAGGACTGACTTCACAAATCGTGCCCTTTACAACTATAAATGTTCCTATAGATGATATTCTATGATAACCTCAGGTTCACAAAATATTCACACCTCTTTCTATGTTTAAAATTTAGAATTTGCCTCAAAGTTTTCGTACAACATCCCAATGGAATCCTGTAGAAAGATTTCTTACTGGTCAGTTATCTTGCAAACTTACATGTACTGAATCAGATGAACCCGAGACAGATAGTCTAGAGACGTTTACTCAACTTTCTTGCTTCATGCATCAAGGTAAGATTTTAATTATCGTCATTAAATTGAATCTTTTCAGTACATAAAATATATTTTATTTTATACAATGCTTAGTGTCTGGCAGCACGCTTAAAACCAGTATGTTCAGTTTTCTAAGTTAAAAGTCAATTATGTTACCGTACTTTATATTTATGTCTCGTATAAATTCTGGTATAATTGAGTACCAAAACTATCACTGATAAAAGGATAACAATAATAAATATTGAAGAGAATGCTCCACGTTTTCCATCAAAAATAACCACACCAGTACTCAACACTGCCAGTTTAACGCTTTTCAACCTGTTTAAATCTAAATCAAAAATTACTAGTTTCATTGTCTAAGCTAATGCTGTTTAGTAACTACATCATCTTACTAATTACGTTTAACGAGGCTAAATTAATGGGATTATGCTGAGTAAGATTCATTACATATATGATTTGTTAAATAGACGTGATGAGTAACTTACTAGGCTTAAGCTTATGATATTTATTCCAAACATTTCCAGTGAAATTGTTTCCTGAAATGTCCGCTTGTAAACATGAAGGTAGTTGTTAACTGTCTAGAATTTTGCATGATACTAGATATGTTTAGAAGAGGTACCAGGTGCTGTTTCGCGATTGCTAAATCTGCTATGTGCATGTTGAAGTGGTTAAGTGATGATATCGAAGCTCCTATTAATTTTCCTATGTATGAATGATTCTTAATGCCAAATCTATTTGATTCCCATCAAAATAGATTGCTTTGATTTATATAATATTATTTGTTAATTACTGCAGATGTAAAATATTTGCTCACTGGTATTCGAAATGGATTAACGGGAAATCTAACTAAGCATTCATGTTTGCTGGATCGAAATGCAGTTTATAAACGTCTATCTCTTATTAGTCGGCTTCCAGCTTACTTATGTATTCATTTTGTTCGCTTCTTCTACAAGGAAGATAAACAGATTAATGCTAAGGTACGTCAGTAAGTGTATTGTAATAATGGCTATAAATGTCCAGTTTTTGTATAAATTACAACTTTAAAGGAAAACGAATAATTACTGTTGCCAGTCCGAAATGTTCCTGCTTGGAGATAACTAACAGTCATGTTCGTAGAAAATACTCGGAGATCCTCTCTAAATTATCCCGTTGTATTAGCTGCAAATTCTGATTATTGTTTTACGTATATTTCAGCTTTGTGGTTCGTCAATTTAAACTAACTACATTTTTTATAATAAAAGTTGTTGATCTCAAAAGACAGTTTTCGTATAAAATTGACGCTTATGAAAATCCTTGTGATGCAAAGTAAAAGGTCTGAGGAGCGTCGTTGGTACATTTTTACTAAAAGATGTATCTCGTAGTTCCAAATGATCAATCTTTATTCTGAAGGTCGTAAAGCTTTTAAAAAATTCGTGATACTATTATGCGTATTATTTTATAGATTTTAAAGGATGTGAAATTTCCACTAACATTGGATATGCACGAATTTTGTACGCCTGAGTTGCAGCAGAAATTACTACCCATGCGTGAAAAACAGCGCCTCAAAGAAGATGAAGTGGTTAATCCCTCAAGTCAAACAAATACTTTCAAAAGTAAACCAGGTTTGTATTACTGATGAGTGGTTATGTAACGTAATTTTAAACGTTGTTTTAACGTTACGTTATTTATAGACAATAAAAGCAAGTAAGTTTTTTTAAGACTTTCGAAGTTCGAAAAAGTAGCAACGGTCATCGTTCAAAGAGCATATACTAAATCCGACTGACAAAGCCATCACTTAGTTATTTTTAGGGTAAGTATAATATTTGTTGCGACTACACTGAATGTTTTCCAGTGAACGCTGTCTACATGACAAGTGAAACAAAACGGTGAAATTTCCAACAATGATATGTTGACTAAATTTAATACTTTTCAGAAACTACTCCAAGTGTGATCAACACTAAGACAGATATAAACGATGACAGTCGGCAAATAATAATGATAGGGTGATGTTCTTAGAACATATCCGAGTCATCGAACTCAGTATATCAAGATGACGACCAATATTAAAATATGGTGAGATACATTCCTGAACCTTGTAATTAACAACATGGTTTATCTATAGGGTCAGGACAACTAAACAGCGATCGGACATTCAGTTTATCAGGCGTCCCAGTTTTACAACCGTAGGTCAGAACTATTTTTGGTGATTGCAATTGCCAGATAAATATTACGAATGCCATAAGTTAACTAAAAGTGGGTTTAGCCAAATGTTCCACCTGTGATGATTTCAAATATTTACGGATATGTTCATATTCACGTAAACTAATTCATTGATACATTTCTTCCAGATTCTGTACGACCTGATCCATTCCAAAATCCTGACTTGTACGAACCTAACTTTTTCGCTGATGATCCCGGTTCGAATAACTCTGGGTACTACGATCTTCAAGGTGTTTTGAGCCACCAAGGTAGGACAAGTACCAGTGGGCATTATGTTGCTTGGGTGAAAAAACAAGGTATGCTTTACGAGGTATAAACATGTAATAAGTATTTCATATTTCAAAATCTTTTCATAAAGACAGGTAGACGAAACGAAAAATGAATTTAGATCAGCAAGAAACGTTGCACACAAGATATCCAGACAGCAAAATGGCCACTAATATTCAAACCACTTTCAAGGTTGTTACAAACAATACCTAATCATCAGTCTTCTATGATTTTCGTTTAATTACACCCCCCAATTAGTGTAAGCATAAACTGGAATCTAGCACGTCATACCTAACATTTTAGATCTCATAAACCCTTGTATCTGTACTATTTCTTGTCATTCTAGACTAGCTAGACATTTATTCTAGAAAAAACTACAATTTTTTGGCAAAACATTCGAACTCCTCAGTAAAATTTCGATACTCATTAAGCATATGTTAAACCTAGTTCTAATACATTTTTAAGGAATGACACCATATAATTCATTGTCTCTTTAAGCTCATAGAGAACAGAGTATTAAAGAATCTTGATTATTATCAGCCGCAAACATATTCTAAACATCATATACATTTCCTTTAGCAGAATGTTGGGTTTTTGTTTGAATAACACTTTTCAAAAACCTTTATGCACTCTACATGATTCATTGTAGAAAAAATAATTTGGTGTCACTATAAGCAGCTGTTTGTCAAGCAAGTTCATATTAAACTGCAAATAAAAAACAACTACCATTTTGCTCCTAAAATTCATGTTCCACTTTTTATTCATTTTAATCACTATGTAGGAATGTGGTTTAAATTTGATGACGATCGTGTCAGCCAAGTGACCTCAGAAGATATTTTGCGCTTATCTGGAGGGGGTGATTGGCATTGTGCATATATTCTGTTATATGGGCCTCATTTCATAGAGAAGAATGCATGTAAGGATCCTTCTGGGAGTACCGTATGAAGTTCATAAATGCACAGCCTAGAAAAATTGACAATTTCTGTTGAATAAACCCGTTTTTTAAACCTGAAATTTTTATAGAACGCCGTTCGTTATGAACGTTTGTCATTATTTTCTTTTCATGAAATTGTGATAATTTGTCTTATAAAATCGCCGTGTTTGCTAGTTGTTAATGTTTTTCAGCTCTTATAACCATCCAGACTTCTGAGCGACTCATTTAACTGCGAAATTGCTTTTCTTGATTCAGCATTGTTTGTGTGGTCAGAAATTTGGCAAATAAAATATACTGTTGGGCTTTCATTATTGTTTGTTTATCGACTGGTATAGAATATTCGACATCGGATTAATCACCACTGAGCTATGTGATAAATAATTAGCTAACATGTACTGTCATTTAAAATTTAGTCGAAATGCACAAATCTTCAAATAAGCATAATTGTGAGCAAAAGAATTCGCTAAGCATTATGTTTTGTCATCCAAAAATGTTTCGTGAATCGAGCGGTGCATTATACGCTTATAAATATTATTCTTTGAAAAGCAATATTCACCTTTCGGTCAGATGCTTCCACGTCTTAATGTACACAAACCTGCATAAGTCTAACATCTGTACGAGAAGAAACTGGCAGTTCACCTGGTCTCTGAGATGAAATTATAAAAGCAGTTTATTTATTTTAAATTGTATATAACTATTTGAAAAGTGCAAGATTCACGATTTTAGCGCATAAATATGCATTCTTGTTTTGTCAACTGCTAGCTAACTTTGCAATGAAAATAAACTTCATTATCACTTAAATTCAACAGGGAAGCTGTTCCGAAAATGTTTTCTGTATTCCACTTGATTGATTTGATGAGTGATACTAATTCTTTCATACGCCGAGTTTAGACAAATTGGTTTCTAAAAGTTGAACCGTCTGAGTCGAGATTCTTATCATCTGGCCACAAGGATGTTGTTAATTATCCATCCTTCTTGATAGATAGTCTGACTTCCCTTAGCTATCTTTGTCAAATGGTACACAAGGTTTCATGTAAAAGACCCAAAATTGGTCAAGTTAGTTTTTGTATTTGTAACCTATTATTATGATCATAGTGAAATGAAAGAGTTAAACTATACAATAATCAATAATAAAGTGAGCCATAAAATTTGGAAAGTCAATATAAAATCTCATTTTTGACAGGTCATTACACTATGTACAATTGTTCGGTCTCCGAATGTGTCAGGTTATTTTTAGAAATAAACTAGATTTAGCTTCAAAAAATAACTACAAACGTACAGTTTCTATAACGAAGTGAACGGCAGTCGCTGAATTATTTTGCACGATGCGGAAGATAGGCATCTATGGTTTGTGATATCTATAAAAATATAAATGAGGATTGTTTATATAATGGATAAACTATGGTAGTTATCGTAACGTAAAACACATGTTAGTTTATATTACCAACCGTTTATACACATTCTGTGTTAAGTATAAACCTCAATATGTAATGGTGGACTATTGGTAAAAAGGGAATCGACATAAAAGATCTAGGGAATCTTGAGGGAGTTCGAATCAGGTTTAGAAGACAAATACAAGTTAAAATAAGTAACTCATCAGATCGTAACTCATGTACGATCAGAAGATATCTTTTTTGGTTTGCTTTGAGAAAAGATTCGCAAGTAGATTGCACATCACTTTAATCAAGGTGTTAAACTCTTCTGGCATTCGTGTTTACACAACTTTTATTACAGGCATCGATGTCTGCATTATGGTTTTGAAAATATCTCTTATCTTTGCGTGAGTTCATGCTCATCTCTATTGTAGTTACTCATCTTAATATAAATACGTCAAAACAAAACTGCTAGATTTGTGTTTATCAGATTACACAGTGGCGTGTGTACCGTAGTTACAATCTTACCTAGCTAACAACTATATTTCTTAGCTGCTATGAATGAACGGAAGCCACTATTATTTATATGTATGGGAACACCAAATCATTGGATCTGTGTTGGTGCAATGGTAGCTAAAATTGATGGAAATATATTACAAAACAGAATAAAATTTGCTAGCAAATTAATACTCACCGAGTGTGATGTCGACTATCAGCATGAACATCCATTTCAGTTGCTTTGAATTCGTTTAATTCTTTTCTAATATCAGCCTACAAATAATGTTTAGACGGTTATATCATATTATTGATTTTACATTTACGGTTATGAAACGACTCCTAATTTGTTATTTGATAAAAGGATATCCACCAAAATGTACTTTCCAGCTCTACAGCTTACAAAGTTTTTCGATAAGTTTGGTTGTGTCTCTCATTCCGATATAAGAATGTCGTGAGTGTTAAAGCGAAATGTTAATCGTTGCTACTAGGTATGTATAATAGTGAAGAACACTATTAAATCTAACAGTTTGTAGTATCAGAAATGTATATATAAGGTTAAACTACAAGTACTTTTTCGAGTTATAACTGACGAACAAAGCATAGAACGGAGTGAGTTTTAGCCTGAGTGAATATATGTTGACAGTTTATGATTTTTTCGCATATGTCGGCATGATACGTTTCACTCACTTCACTAACCACCATCTGAGATTTGATAATTTTTTTATAATTGCCATAAAATAGCACGAAAATATTCTCTTACAGAGTTCCATTATCTAAATTTTGTTATAATATTGTGGTGCGTGCTACTTATATTGATATAAGTAGTATATAACGTGAGTCAAAAGAACGCAATGTCTGGCAACAGAAGATGGAGGAGATCAAGAAAAGAAGAGCGAGAAAACAATGGACTTTGTAAGAAATCGCATGAACAATGAAATGCGAGACAATGGATATGATAGAATGACATTTTGCAAATTAACGATTTACTATATGGTTTTTCTATTTTACCAAGTAATTCTGTAATTTGCACTAAATACAATTTGGCTGTCCTCACCCGTGCTCTTCTTCACTACATTTGGTGTCGCTGCCTCCACTAAGGATGAAGATTCCATGGCCGAAGGAGTTTGAGGATGGAGATGTGCTGAGCTTCCTGAAGGAGTTTGAGGTCGTGGCGGGGGTGAAGGAGCCGAAGGCGAAGTTGGTGGTGCTGGGGACGCTGCTGAGAGGCAGAGCGAAGGCTGTGTATGACAGCTTGGACGGTGCTGGCGGGGAGACGACGTGGGAGGCAGTCACGCAGCGGTTGGCGGCGGAGTTTGACAGCCCAGTGGACAGAGAGGACGCGCTGCAGAAGTTCCGGTTGGCGAGGTTGCTGGTCGATAGTGACCCACTGGTCCTGGCTGTGGAGCTTACCAGATTGTCACGCCGTGCGCTGCCGAGTCTGGATGAGGAGTCGGAGGCACAGTTGTTGGCGTCACAGTTTATCGAGAGTGTGCCTGCCACCGTCTCCCAACAACTGAAACTGGTGAACGCAGCGCAACCGACGGATATCAGTGAACTGGCGAAGGTGACTCGACAGCTGATGACGCGAACAGTAGCTCCGGTCGGGTGCGAAAAGCAGGAGATGAGTAATGTCGAGAAGAAGATTGAGGAGCTGGAGCGTGAGATTGCAGTAATACGAGTGAACAATAAAAGGAACGATAAATGTTACGCTTGTGGAGGGACAGGACATTGGAAGATAAACTGTCCAACAAGACGAAGACGCAGATATGTTAGACGTTACAACGAGTGTTCTTTCTATCCTATGAATCTGGGGATTGTTGCGTTAGTAGACAGAGGGGCAGTATATACGAGAGTGAACATAAATGAGCGAGATTTAGTTTGTCTGATCGATACAGGTGCAGCAGTATCGTTAATAGGCAAAGAGCAATGTAAGAGAATCAAGCCGTGTACATTAGCTGTCCACACGATAGGGGGCCATATGTTAGAGGTGTTTGGCGTATCTAACAGTATCGTAAAAGTGGGGGATGCTGAGATAAATTTTCCGTTCGTCGTAACCACAAGCTTATCGAGACCGATATTAGGAGCAGATTTCCTAAGAGAAGTAAAAGCGATAGTTGACTTAAGAAGCGGTAAGGCGGTCACGAAATATGGTTCATTGACAATACACGAAAATAGCGAAGTGGCTGAAATAAGAGTTGCAGCGGATGTCTCGTCAAAGAAACCAAACATTCACGAGTTATGCAAAAAGTATGCGAAACTATTCACTGGAGATGGGGAGCCGTATGGATTTTGTGACAGAGTAAAGCACGAAATACCGATAAAGAACAGTCGAGTAAATATATTTGCAACACGTCGTGTCCCGGTGCATTTAGAGGCCGAGGTAAATCGTCAGGTCCAGGAAATGTTAAAAGAAGGTATAATTGAGGAAGCGGACAGTCCATATAGCTCGCCGGTACTCTTGGTAAAGAAACCAAATGGAAAGTATAGATTTTGTGTCGACTTCAGAGAATTGAATAATATAACAGACCTGAAGCCTTGTGCAATGCCAACAGTGGTGGAAACATTAGATCGGCTACAGAATGCCACGGTGTTTACAGTGCTGGATTTACGGTCAGGTTATTGGCAACTACCTATAAAACAGAGTGATCGAAGCAAGACAGCGTTTACTGTACGTGATAAACAGTATCAATTTAAACGAATGCCGTTCGGGTTGGCGGGTGCACCGTTCACGTTCAGAAGATTAATGACACTACTGCTCAAGAATCTAGATAATGTCGAGGTATATGGCGACGATGTAGTTGTGTACAGTCAAACAGAAACAGATCACATCAAACATGTGGAAGCGGTCTTAAAGCGAATTGACGAATTTGGACTTCGGATTAATAAGGACAAGTCGCAGATAGCGAGAAGTAGCGTCACATTGTTGGGACATAAAGTGGGAAATGGAGAAATAAAACCATTGCCGGAGAAAATTCTTACCATAAAAAATATTGCAGTACCTAATTCGAAAAGGAAGTTGAGACAGTTCCTGGGAAGAGCGGCGTTCTACAGTCGGTTTATCAAGAATTTCAACGAAATAGCAGCACCCTTATATAAGTTATTGAGCAGCACCAAGTTTACGTGGACTGAGACTGCCGAACAAACGTTCAACCGAATCAAAAACATGCTAGACGATCGCCAGATGACGCTCAGACTGCCTGAACCGGGAAGACTGTTTACAGTGGCCACAGACGCGAGTGATCATGGTATAGGTGCTGTGTTGAGTCAGGCTGATAGAGTGGTGGAATACGCGAGTCGCGTCCTCACACCTGCTGAACAGAAGTATTCAACCATCGAAAAGGAGTGTTTAGCGATCGTGTGGGCAGTGGAAAAATGGAGACCATACCTTTTAGGTAGACGATTTCACATTGAGACCGACCATAAACCCCTGCAGTGGTTGAAAACCGCAAGAGACCCCCGAGGGAAGTTGGCGCGATGGATGATACGCCTGCAAGAATACGATTTCAGTATCGGCCATGTCCCAGGAAAAGAGAACGTAATGGCGGATTACTTGTCAAGACCAGACATGGAAGCCGACCTGCCATTAACAGCATACGCGGTGAATAGTTTAGAGGGAGATCCATTAGAACTCGTCCGGTAGCAGAAAGCTGACCCTAACCTTCGAGAGGTAATCAGAGTGATAAAAGAGGGAGCAGACGTAGATAAACGAACAATGGACAAGGAGGTAATAACGCTGCTTCGGCAAAAGGACGACTGAGAGTGAACTCATATGGAGTGCTGACCTGGCAGGACGATGATGAGAATTGGGTGGCGGTGATCCCGAAAGACTGGCGGCGCAAAATGATACACGAGTGTCACCAGGTAGCACATACAGGCATCGCAAGAACGACGGACTTACTACGACAAAGTGCATACTGGCCGAGCATGAGAGACGATGTGGCTGAATACGTGTTAACCTGCCAGCAGTGTCAGCTAATGAAAAGCGATCGATATACACAACCGCCATTACAGTCAATCCCAGTAACCGCAGTCGGTGATCTATGGTCGGTGGATGTGATGGGACCGTTTCCACAGACGGCGAGCGGTAACCAGTACCTGTTAGTGATGACGGAACATGCTACACGTTGGGTAGATGCCGTACCCATTGCAGACCAGCGGGTAAGGACAGTGACCGAGGTGGTAATTCGGCATATTGTAGCGTGTCACGGAATACCGAAGATGATATTAACTGACCAGGGTCCCTGTTTTGAAAGTGACGAGTTTAAAGCCCGTTTAAAGCAGTTTGGCATCAAGAGAATACGAACTACACCGTATCATCCTTAGACAAACGGGCTTACAGAGAGAAACAATCGGACGTTAAAGGAATACTTACTTACTTACTTACGCCTGTTACTCCTCGTGAAGGAGCATAGGCCGCTCACCAGCGTTCTCCATCCAACCCTGTCCTGGGCAATCCTTTCTAGCTCCGTCCAGTTGTAATTCATCGTTTTCATATCTGCTTCTATTATCCGACGCAATGTGTTCTTCGACCTTCCTCTTTTTCGCTTCCCTTCAGGATTCCAAGTTAGGGCTTGCCTCGTGATGCAGTTTGACGATTTGCGTAATGTATGTCCTATCCATTTCCATCGTCTTTTCCTAATTTCTTCTTCAGCTGGAAGTTGGTTTGTTCTCTCCCACAGAAGGCTATTGCTGATGGTATCCGGCCAATGGATGTTGAGTATCTTGCGAAGACAGCTATTTATAAATACTTGTACTTTCTTGATTGTGGTTGTTGTAGTTCTCCAAGTTTCAGCTCCATACAGTAGAACTGTCTTGATGTTCGTTTTGAAGATTCTCACTTTGACATTGGTTGAAAGTTGTTTTGAGTTCCATATGTTCTTCAATTGTAGGAATGCGACCCTTGCTTTGCCGATCCTCGCCTTTACATCTGCACCTGGACCTCCTTGTTCATCGATGATGCTTCCCAGATATGTGAAGGATTCTACATCTTCCAGAGTTTCGCCATCAAGAGTGATTGGATTGCTGTTTTCCGCTTTGAATTTGAGGACCTTAGTTTTCCCTTTGTGTATGCTGAGGCCTACTGATGCAGAGACTGCTGCTACACTGGCTGTCTTCATCTGCATCTGTTCGTGTGTACGTGATAGGAGGGCTAGGTCATCTGCGAAGTCCAAATCGTTAAAGGAATGGTTAGCATCAAAAGGAGGAAATTGGGAGAAAGAGTTACCATTGATTTTGCTGGCACATCGTTCCTCCACACAAGGAACAACCAAGAAGTCACCTTTCTTGCTCATGTATGGCAGACAACCACGACTTACACTGCATAATAAGACCTGGCCAGAACAACAGAAGTGGACGACAATAAGGTTAAGAAAAGAGAGGAGAGAGGCAATGAGGATCGTGGAAAAGAAACAAATATCAGACACAAAGAAGGCAGAACAACAGAGGAGAACGTGGAAACCCTTTGCATTGGGGGACCTAGTAAAGTGTAGAGAACGAAAAAGTAACATAGCAGGGGGAGCAGGGTCGGGGAAGCTGACCCCAAAATGGGAAGGACCGTATGTTATCACGGAGAGGCGCGGCTCGGTCTACACGATCCGGAGAGAAGACAAGCAGAAGCGCGTAAATGCTAGTCAACTACAGAGATGGTTTCAAGATCATCATGGGTGTGAATCACGAAAAGCACCAAAGAACACAGCGGTACGGAGATCAGAAAGACTACGACAGCAACTTGTTAAAAGGGGGGACGAGTGTGGTGCGTGCTACTTATATTGATATAAGTAGTATATAACGTGAGTCAAAAGAACGCAATGTCTGGCAACAGAAGATGGAGGAGATCAAGAAAAGAAGAGCGAGAAAACAATGGACTTTGTAAGAAATCGCATGAACAATGAAATGCGAGACAATGGATATGATAGAATGACATTTTGCAAATTAACGATTTACTATATGGTTTTTCTATTTTACCAAGTAATTCTGTAATTTGCACTAAATACAATTTGGCTGTCCCACCCGTGCTCTTCTTCACTACAATATGTAAATGAATAAGTTCTGAAACCTTTCAGTAATAAGGGATTAGTAACCCATTTAGTCGCAATCTAGAAGTGTTAGCGTATATTGTTTAGGAAATAAGGTATATCGTGTTGTTGCTAAGGGTTTGGTGGCAAGAATTAAAAAAAGTAGTGTTAGCTGCTACTTTATCTATTAGTAAAACTACCGATTCCCCCTTGATTTGAATAAATAATAAGTGAATTAACAGTGTACGTAGCATGAAGTTTTGTAATGAAAATAAACGTTCACTGTATTGTAATTCGTTGGTTCGACGAGATCGCTTACCATTTGCAGCATGAAAACACATGATTATGGTAAAGGTGCATTTAGAAAATACTAATGGTTAGCTTTCTCCAGATAAAAATTGTAGGAACTTACTTTATCACGTAGAGTTAGACGAGTCCATGGTTTATCAGCTCGACGATCATAGGCATCTGCTTCACTAACTTCAACATAATCATTAAAACGAATAATTTTACGTCGACGCAGCTCTTCAACAGTTGGTCGAAATGATAGCTGAAAACGAAATTTTTAGCCGTAATTAGAAGAAAATTACCTCTAGCTAATACGTTCATCATACAGATCGGTCAGGCTCGGACAGTAGTAGTATATCACTCGTGTCTTTTATCTATCACACAAAATTTTCATAAAACAATGTCTCATAACAAGAAGCAAGCTTCATTTGATGTTTGCAATTGCTAATGAAAATTTATACGCAAATCGCTCCTAGCAAGACTCATACCTCTGATCATCCATTGTAACTACATCACGGTTAAAAACGTCATGAAAGTATGAAACAATTTTGAAGAAAATGTCCCTGTGACAATGAAAAAGAATGATTTCAATGCTCGAGCCTGCAGAGGTAGACCTTAAAAACAACGCGACGTCGCTTGCTCCATGGATTCTCAGAACTAAGGTTTGGAAAATATGTAAATGACAAAAATACTATGTAATTAACGGTATGTTAATGGCTCCAAGCAGCATTCTTATATGTCATATACTCACTTTACGGTCAATCTCAATCAAAAGCCAAATACTCAGGAATAATATTTATACCAGGTAATTTTAGTACACAACTAGATGACTTGTAAGGTTGAAAGATACAGGTCGGGAATTCGGTGTTACAGTTCAGCAGACAGTGACAGTCAGTTATATCAAAAGAACCTTTCATCCTAAAAAGCACCGATTTCACACATAGCAAAATATTTAGTGAACGCGATGGGAAAATTTGGATATAGGAAAATATCAAGCATTTGTTTCTTCTGCTAAATAAACATTACTTGAAGACTGATATTTATAGATCTCGAATTTAAGAGACAAGAGTTCGACCAAGATTACTTAATGACTATTCCTCCACATCCAACCTACTATATGAAGTTCAATCTTGGGATGAAGAATTACGTATGACTTACATTAAAGTCTGTGCGGTCATCCTGTCATCAATATTTTACAGATGCAATAAAATAATCGTTATCAAAAAACATCATTGCTAATTAGGTATCGTAGCTTTTATTATAAGGTGCACAAAAATAGTAATAAAAATCACATGGTAGATTAAAGATATATATGACAAATTGAGTTGATAATTCAGTGAATTTTACGCACATGACTCCATACACTGAGTGCATGTAAATGACCTAGTGTTTAAATGTAAGATAATTATACGAAATTAACATGTCAAGAAGTCATTGAAATAAAAAATTACTTTAAGTTGAAATTTTTGTTGTGAAACATACAAGGCTGACAAATGTTGATAAATTACACTCGTTTTCTAGAAGTTACGTGCAATAATTGCCGACTAGTTACCTATGACTGAAATAAGTGTAAGCGAAGTCTGAGTACGTTTTTTTAATAAATTAGGTTTTGTTTCCAGTAACAAACTAGTCAACAAGAAACAATTTAATGATGGACGGACATTAATATTCTACTTTTGAAGCATCCTATGGACTGAATACAAAACAGTCAGTTTACTTCATTAGTTACCTAGTTTAATTCCTCTGAGGAAGTACTTAGGAAAGCTAATTGATTGGTGAGGAAGTGAAACATTAACGACTGAGATAGTTAGGACATGTATTACGCATGGCTATCCTCAGTGTGCCGCTATGGCTGTTGTTAGAGTAGGTTGTAAGTTTGTTGGGGGTAGCCAAACCAAGCCATAGGTCCAATTCATGAAGATACTGACTGTTGGACTGAACAGCGTAGGTAGGTTCAAACTACGTAGTAGGGGTTCATGTGATTATCGTAACTAATAGTGACATGGCTGAAATCGCAATGGCGCAAGTGAATTCAATCTTTGTCGAACATAGTTTTATGATCATTTATTTACCAGAGGCAAATAATAAAGAAATTTGATATTGGCAGTTTAGGATAACACGTATCTGAAGTTAGAGTTATCAGATATTTACAAATTATCTTAAATTGAACAATGGGAACAAACTATGGGATAATGACACTAAAAAGTTAGAATATTCAAAAACTGAGCCGAGTCCTATTTATTAATCACTTAGCAAAATTATATTAGGGACTGCAAGTCAGATGATAATATAGTTGTTTTTTATCGAGAAGCATTAAAAAGGAGAGACTACAATATTATCACCTAATTCTTCGCAGACATTAGTTGTCAGATTAACCTACTGTAAGAAGAACAGAGATTAAGGGGTTTATTTGTACTTAAACACTATAATAAGCCGGTTCTTTGTTTGAAATATGAATCTGAACAGAGAGTACCTAATAGTTTCACATAGATTACTAAACAAATTAATATTTTTATTAATATTATTGAAAATAAATGCTTTCGACTTGTCACAAACACCTAAACTTGAACACATATAAACACGTCTAATATGAACTTTTGTCAAATGACGCAAGAATGAGTAAGATTCTTAGTTTTAAAATCATTCTATCCAATTCAATTACAAACAAAAAGTTCTAGGTTTCGAAAAAACAATACATATATATAGAATTATTATTTTGTTACTTTGTGGACACTTAAGAGAATTTAGAGAAGGAAAGGACATCTTTTTTTTCACAGAAAAGAGAAGTGAACAAATATTTCTGATAAACCATTGACAAAATGTAATAACTTCATATCAACTAAACTAGATAAATTAACCTGGAATACATATCCAGCAGAAAGACGAAACATTTTATAATTACCTGTCAAATAATAAGAATTATTTTATATTCGATTGCAATAAAAAATAGTTTCATTAATGTTATACTTGTGTTTAGATAATTCAGTTAACAAATACAAACAGAAAAAATACTTAAAGTATTAAATGCAACGTGTAAAGCATATATGTCACCTAAAGTTGGAATTATACAGAAAGCAAGCAGTTGTATTAATGTAATTTATACCAGTTACCTAAATATAATGCGTTATTATTAAGGGGTGATGAGGTCGAAGATAATTTAGGAATGAATTTTGTAGTAGTCATATGGAAAAGATTTCAACGACCAAGTATTGATAAAATGATAAATTAGATTGTTTTTGTAACCACATAGTATTCTTATTAAACAAGTATCAATACTAAGGTTGGACATAATAGTTTCGAATAAATTGAACATTGGCTAGCGAGTTAATAATAAATATATTTTTGTTATATCTCAATGAGTAATTAAATTGTATTTCTGACGTTTAGTGACTTAATGTAAGACATTTCGTCAGAAGCACTTAACACGAGTTCAAAGCGTGTTTTAATTTAATGTCGGCTATTTATTAACTCTGAAGAAGTAGCTTAGATAAAGCCACGAAACGTTAGAAGTACAATTTTTCTACTTATCGGGATATAACAAAAATATATTTATAATTCTTATTAAACATTGAAGAGAAGTGGGTAGAAAGTTGTGTAACAGGGTATCGGACAGTGAGAACATAAATTCTATGCAAAGGTGTTGAATCGAATTTTAAAACAACTTATTCTGAAGAAACAATGCATAAAACGATTAGAGCACTTTTACTAGCAATTCTATGAGCTGATTAAGCAGCCATTTTTCATTGAACTTACAGACATACACGTGTCTCTTCTTTACTTTGTGTCCGGATTATTGTTATTCTTTATAAGCAAGAAACTTTAACACAACATAACTGACAAGTATGTATTTAAATAAAAGTAATTCAGTGAAGAAAATTCTCTTTTTTAATTTTATGTCTTTTTCAGATTGCCTACAAAAGAACAAGTCAGGAGGGGTCAAGTGATGATTTCATCACAACTCCATCAGTTCGTCTACAGAAAGCATTATTAAATCTAAATTGTACGTAGAGAGTACATTTCAGAAGTAGCTTTCATTGCTAGTATCACGGGGAAGCAAATATCAAGGTTGTTTTTCTCGTTATAGTCATACAAAAACATATGGTCTCCACAAAATAAACATGTAGAGAGTGAAAAAACTTGGATGAATCCATAGTGTTGCATACAATGGTATCACATCTGAAGGGTTGAAAGATTTATGCTAACCCCTCAGTAATCAATAATTGGTAAGAAAAGTTATTCATTTTCATGGGAAATAAAAGAAAATTCTTAAAAAATTTGGAAGGATTTTCGTAGAGTTCGAAGTTGATGACAGAGTCATCTTTTAAGAGGCTCCTTCAGAGAATTTGTCAGCATCTGATAAAATGGAAAATCTGCCCGGAGACATCTAGGGTTACTACCAGTAACGAGCTCGGTTAAACGAAAAATGATGGATACAGTGTTATCAACAATACCTCATCAAAAAACGCAAACAAGAAAAAATCATTTAAACCCTTTAAACTCTGCCCTGTGAAGAAAAGGGTTTCGTCACACAGAAAATTTACGATGTGTCATGATGAAAGCCAAGATTCTTCGGGAACCACAAGACTGATGAGCATTCTGACAACCGAAGCAACAACCTCTGTAGGTACGTGGAATGTTCAAATAACCACCAACATGAGTACAAACTGACTCTGCTTCAAATAAATGAAACCCATTAAATACAACATGGACAGATAAGACTGACTTCGGCAGAGGTGTTATTATATTCCGATTACGGAGAAAATGCCGTAGACAAAGATTTGCTTTGACGCTGTCCAAAGAAGCACGAAAAGCACTCCTGGATGGAAAATTCAAGCAACCTTTAAGACGAAGAAGTTAGGGATCATAATGCATGTAGTTAAGTACTGCACCCACCAACAATATCATCTAAGATTATAACGACCGCTTTTCCCCGTCATTACAGTTGATTGTGGAGAAATAATCAGGAAAACCTTGATCATCTTGATAAAGGGACTAAATACGAGCAGTCTCTTATCTTCAAAAGACTTAACACCCCTTGAAGGACACTTTTCTTTACATGACATCTTACTTATGAACATGTAATCAGATGTTATTACCCTCTTAAAATTCTTCAGAATTATTATTCAACTATTGATATTACCTCTATGTCCTTCCTTTTTTCCTCATATCTATCTCCCATATTTTTGTTCTGCAAATTATTCTCGTCTTGCTATGTTCCTTTAACATATAGATCATTACACAACCTTCATTTGACACTTACAAACCGCCAAACACTGTGATAAATGTGAGTTTTTTTATTTTTTCTGCAGATGCATACATTTATTAATTCACTGCGATTGCATAGCCTTAGTACATGATATTGTCGAAAAGAGAATTATCTTCGCAGAAATACTTTTATGCTTTCTTCAATGACACAATGGGTTTCTTTTGTTATTTGAATATATATATATATATTTGTCTGATCATCAACTTGTATTTTTTCTATAAAATATTAACATTGGTAATAGACAGAGATTAACTTCAATGAAATTGGATTGACACAGTAAATAAATATTGTATTTCTATTTTACAACAAGAGAAACTGATATGTTCTAAAACGTTAAGATAAGCTGTGAGGGTTATCGTTTATATTAATGTCTTTTGTATTTTTTCCTGTGACGCTGTTAAAAATTCTCTTTTAATTTACCATTTTCCTTCAAACGTAAACCTAATAACTTAGATTGAAACATATGCACGTACAATTAATAATGAATCAAACAAATAACAATCATAATAATTGTTTATTCGCAAGATTATCTATCCTTTGATTGGAAGATGTAAGAGAACTACGTGTCGTATGACTTACTGTGATAAAAAATTAATCCTGTATAATTGCGTCAGATGACTGTGATATGTTCTTCCTTACTGAGAGAAAGAAAATTCACGAGATAAGAGAATGATGATGATAGTAGAATTAGTAATGTGTGTAATGTACCAATTCTATTCATTTAAATTTAGGTTGATATCGAATGATGATTATTTATCAAAGAGAAACAATTCCAACTGTACTGCGAACAGTGCTTTCGTAATACGACTCAACTATTCCATATGACCTTAAACTGATCAAAATATTTTTTAACTTATTCAGGGATTGATATTATACATATTTGGCATCTGTGGATACCAGTAAGTTCAACTTTCAGTATGGACTATGCATAGAGAATGATGTTGGTTGGGATAAAAATGGATAAATTTCTTGATTTTTAGTATTGATAGACATAGTTTGCTTTAGAAGAAAAACAAAGACAAATAAGCGAAGAATATTTTATTTTTGATGTCACAATGGATTACTTTAACTATAGAATCCTTCATAAAATGTAATGCAGGCGCTTTATTAGACAGATTCCTATGCCATGATTTTCGTGACAACACTAGTTTCTTAATTTTTCTATTCACTTTACATCCCGAAAGCTAATAAATGCAATTCGGAATCAGAAATATATAAGCCCACCTGACATAAATATTTAAAAATGTTTTATGGAGAATAGTGTCTTTTGTGAAGAAATCTACTTCAGTCAACAACTACGATACTCCTGTAGTTCGGTTTTGTTGTTATTGTTTATTTATCTCAAGTACCTTGCCTTTATACGAAATAGTACCAGTGGTAAATAGGTAATAGGTCAGAACCACTTATAATGATCAGAAACTGCTTTTTATTAACTATGCAACCACGAACGACATTGAAAAAAGTACTGAAGTCGTCTAATCTAGCTCAAGTTATTTGTAATCAAGACAGAACCTTTTCGTCCATTTTAAATAACCATATTTTGTTTCCTAGGAAGACTACAAATACAGTTACTACTATTTCAACATTAGTTTTATATCTGGTCATAATAAGCTATTCTATATAAGCAAACATTTCGCACCTTTCGTTTATTCAAATAAAAAATCGAGTTAGGTTCAAAGCAAACTAGCAACACATATAAGAAGGATAGATGATCATTGGTTGTTTTTGCATGACACCATAAAAATGGTGAGTTAGGGTATTTTCGGCTTTACAAGTGCTCCACTTTTAAGCACTAGGTTTCTGCAGGTTCCTAACAACTCCTTGGGACCAGCGTTACTGGAGCCACCGAACATCGGAAGAGCACACACAAAACTACACATAAATGTTACACTAGCGACAGTCGGAGAAATTAGCAAGGAAATCAGACAAACCGAGTAAGGAATAGAGGAGGACGAAAAAGCAATCTAGCTGAAGCACTGCATTTAGATTTAGAGGTAACTGCAAGGATATTTCACATACTTTTTCAGAAGGATTTGGTAGGGAAAACAATACCAACAGACTGGGAATAGGGATATCTCAGCAAGATTTCAAAGAAAGGTTTCAGTAAATGTGAAATAAATACAGGTGCTATCGTCAGTACCTGACAAAGTTCTCGACAGATTGTAGGTATATCGAACAAAAAACTAAGTCGAGATCGACAATCTGAGTTTTGTAAGGAAAGTCTGGTACAGAGCTGGTCGTAGATACCTCATCAGAAATCTATGACCCAGGAACAACAGTAGGGTTAAAATTTACTATAAATCATTTTAAAAATTTACTCATCCACGAGGTACTTTGGCATGAGCCAAACTCTAAATATGAGGGTCAATTAAATTACTCAGTTGCCCAAACCAAAGTAGATGGAGGTGGGTTCGAAGCTGATACTCAGCGTCTGAATGTTAAATGCCTTAATCACTAAGCCACTGCGGAAAGTACTAATTGTTTATGAATGCTAGAGCAATTTTGTTTTCATGACGGATTGTAAAATGAAAATTTCTTATGATCAAATAATAACGGCGGAGATATACTTAGTTAACAAGCACTCGAAAATAGGACTATATATAACTGTATACCAAGAATTACATGATGACAAACGGAGGATGCCATGATTCGAGTCTTCAAAAAGCACTCGTATAAGCATAATTCAGAAACATGAGCCCAGTGCTATATTCATATAGCATTTAGCTAAATTATTTTGATGGGGTTTTTTCTCTGAGTTGGTTGGTTTGGTCGTGGAGATTCCATCGTTCTTCTGAACGACATCATTAGCACAAAATTGAGGTAGAAGTGAAGTGTTCGAATTCCTCCACATGTGGCTCACAGCTTTACATCCACCTAAGCTACAGATCTTCTCCACCGTCTCAGCTAAATTATTTTTGTCTTACATTCATTTCAGTCAGTCTCCAAGGGGTCAAACACTAAAACAAAATGAATCGAACCAACATACAAATCTCACAAAGTGTCAGGAACAAATTTTACGAGAAATTTTGTCTAAATTTTAACAAATCGTTAGGCTCTGAGTTTATGAAAGATGTTAAGAAGGAAATTATACTTGTGAACAATCTGAGTGGTTGAAATTCTAATATGGACCCAATGTTTCTCTCGGTTGTCCAATCCAAGTTTCTTCAGTAGGAATAATCAAACATCAAAATTACCGAATATAAATGTTTTGTTCACAAACTGACTTTGAATTAAAAGAATTGTTCAATTACTAAGTTCATCAGATGGGTCGGATCCGCTGGCCTCAAACTATCATTTTTTTGACTGTTTGGTTAAAAGGAAACAACTTTTTGAAAATTAATATATTCCGAAAGCCAATACCTAGATTGCAGGTCACCACATGCCCTATCCACTAAGGTGAATTTCTAAGAATCTGCGACTCGTCACAGAACTGGAAGACGGATAAGCTGAGTAATATTTGGATTTTTCTACTTTGATGATGAATAATTATCCTATTGACTTTATAAGTAGAATTATTAATATATTCCGAAATATAAGCAAAAAAAAAGAATGCATTAAAGTGGTGATGGTCCCAAATCTCAAAGGAACTTGGGCAGAAATCAGAAGAATCCTGAATTATCACAATATAAGAGCATTTTTCCGAAGGAACAGTACTCTTAACTGTACACCAGCAAGTCAAAAACACAATATTAAGAGAAGAACAATTGTATTGTGTCTATGCGGTCAAATTTAATGACTAATGCTACATATATAGGTAAAACATCACAGCAGGTGAGTGTGAGAATGACGGGATACGGACTTTGCTTGAAGCATATTCCTAAATCCTTAGAACTTTAGAAACTAGAAAGCATTTAAGATGATAGCACTACAATCAACAGAATCTGAACATACGGTTGACTTCAATGGGACAAGAGTCCTTTACAAAGCTTTTGGTTAGTATAAAGGAAGTTTGACAACTGAGATCTCCTGCGTATAAACGGAACCTCAAATGATAAGAATAGAAGAGATGGAAAACAATTATCTGTACCACGGCAACTGGTAACTACCAAATAGATCTGAATTTGATCTAACTGTTGCTAATTCGTTTCATGTTTTGCAGACAACA